AAAGCACGGCCCGTCGATTTCCCGAGGCGCGCCGTCCATCCCTTTCTCGCACCGGCAGAGCGGCAGAGCTGTCCGCGCGAGCCTCTCTCCCGGTTCCTCTAGACTCGGCCTCTCTTTCTCCGGTCCGTGGTTGTTCCCCTTTCGGCGTGTTCTCGTTCTCCCTCCAACCGTCGCGCGTCGGTGCCCACCGATGACGGGTCCATCAGCGCGGAGGGTGCGCGCGGCCCGTGTATTTACACGCTCCGGATTTACGCAGACGCGTGACGCACGGAGCCATCGAGGCAAATCCTGTCCTTCCGTTTTCCGTTTCATTTGCCCGCGGCTTTCTCCCGTCCCGATTCGCCGTTCTTGCCGCGCGCGCGCGCGGCCACGGACTCGCTCCGCGCGAGTGTCGTTGCCCGACGCGGCAGGGGGTGGCCACTCGAAATCGCTAAAGCGCGCGGACGCGTCGTGAGAAGCGAACCTCGAAATCGCCTCGCGTCTCCGAGCGTTCGGACGCTCCGTCAGAGGCGGCGCCGCCGCTGATTCGCTCGAACCGGATTTCCTGTTCGAGGCTCCGAGGCGAGTCTGCTCCGTCTCGAAAGAGGGCTCGGGACGGCCGGCGACAACGCGCCGCCGCCGGCGGCGGCTGCGAGAAATTTCGTGGCCCTACGGCGCGACGCGAACGCTCCGCTACACCGCGGTCATATCAATATATCGTTTTCGAAGTGTGTCAGGGTGATAAAATATGCACGCGTCGTTAACATCCTACGGGCGCTCGTCCACTGCCCTTGACAATAACTCGTTGGCGTCGCCGAGTGCTCCCGTATTTCCCCGCAATTTACCTTTTGCGTTTCACGCAGACATCAAAAGTCCGTGAGTGGCAATTTGCTTAAATGAAAGTTCGTGTTAAACGCATCAACGCCCACCGGCGCGTCGATTATTTGCCGAGGCTGATCGGTGCTCGATCAACCTTTCGTTTGCTCCGCGATGTTTACCGACATCGAACGGCATTCTCGCTCTCTAGCCTCTCTTCTCTAGCCTCGCCCCGTCCGTCCGCCCGCCCGTCCCCTGTCCCCTGTCCCCTCGACGCGCCGAGCAGCGCCTCGGGCCGCGGATCGAGCGTTTCGCGTCGAACCGGAAGCGGAGCGCGAGCCTCGCGACCGATCGAAAACGGCGTCTTCCTCGGCTCGTTCGTCCCTTGGAACATAAAAATCGCCGCTCTGCGTTTGCGACGTGGGAATCGCTGGTACGCTGCTACGCTCCGCAGTCTCAGTGGCGTACGTGAGCGCGATCCATTCGCCGGCGAGTGGACGTCGCGCGCGTTTGCGCGCCGAGCACGTACTTGCCCCGTACACGCGTCATTCGATTAATGAGATGCCGCCGCCGTACAGTGGGACGAAACCCCCGGCGGCGATCGAAAGCCGATTTTTCCTAATGCCGTCGGTCCGACGTTAGTCCGAGATTAGTGGAATCCGGAGACTCCGTCGCAACGATCCGAACTGCCGCGAATGCGATCGAAACGTACGCGAAGCGGTAGCAAGCTCGTGGATCTTGGATCGTCCGCGTACGCGCGACTCCGAGGATGCGTCAAGGACAGACGGAAGCGGCGGCGCCCTCCTCTCGTTCGCCGCGTGTTTGCTCGCGGATCGAGCGGGGAATTAGAGAATTTCGGGGACATCGGAGAGTGTCGGAAGAGGCGCGACGCGAGGCAAATATTGTTCGAAAGCTTTAAACGATTCGCGCGAGGAGATTTGCTCGGTGGAACGTTCGGGACCGATTATTGGGCTAAACGCATCGCGACAGCGCGTACGAGCGTGCGTGCGTGCGTGCGTGCGTGCGTGCGTACGGGAGTACGGGAGCACGCGCATACGGGAGCGCAAGGGAAGAAGATAAACGACGCGGCCGGAGCAATGACTTCTCCGCGATGGGGCGATATCGCTGACGTTCCGTCGTTCCACCGTTTCACGTCAGATACCCGCAATCTCGCCTCGTTTCGCTCGAACGTTCGGTCGGGTCGTTACGCTTCGACCTCGTTTCCAACGTGCTCGCGAAATCGGATGACCCGATCCGATCCGATTCGAGGGCGGGAGAGGGCGAGAGAGGGCGAGAGAAACACCGAGAAACTCGGACGCTGCCGCCGCACGAGACTTGGCGTTTTAACGGCATTCTGCATCCACATAGCTAGACTTGGTATGCGATAACAGCTGGTGGCCTTCCACCTCCACGACCTTCTTTTACGTGGGCAGCCTGTTCGGGAACGTGGTGTTCGGCTGGATCGCCGATAAATGGGGAAGAAGGACCGCTTTCTTCGCCATACTCTTCCTCGAGGTGATATTCTCGATCGCCACCAGCTTCAGCCCCAACTACGTCATCTACACGGCGCTCAGGACCGTCAACGGTCTATTCTTTCCCGCCATCTACCAGATACCTTTCATATTGGGTAAGCGGAGGCGAGCGGAGGCGAGCGGAGGAACGGAACCGGAACTCGACGGGGTTTGCTCTGTGTTTCAGCGTTGGAGATGATGGGTCCGAGGTACAGGACGTTCGCGGGCATGGTGATCTGCATGTTCTTCGCGTCGGCGCTGTCCCTGCTGGCCCTACTGGTAAACCTCGCCGGGGCGAGAGTCCGAACGGAAGCGGGGATCGACAATCTCTTCTCTGTTCGCAGGGTTACCTGTTGCGGCACTGGTTCGCCCTGTCGCTGGCGACTTCGGTGCCGTTCGTCCTCCTGTTCAGCTACTACTGGATCATCCCGGAGTCGCCGCGGTGGCTGCTCAGCAAGAACAGGATCGACGAGGCGGAGGTGATCGTGCAGCGCATGGCCAAGATCAACGGGAAAACGGTGCCGAGCAATTTCTTGAGGAAAATGGAGGTAAGCGACCGGCGTCGGTCGAGACCGCGACACCGAGAACCGAACACACCTTCCCGACCGTTTCAGCTGGAGATCCTCAGGAGGCAGGGGATCTCTTGCAACGGCACCAATTCGGGCGAGACCGAGACGGTCCAGGCCGAGGACAGGTCGCCCCCGCCGGCGGCCACGCCGATGGACCTGGTCAGGAACCCGAACATCCGCAAGAAGTTCTTCATCCTGGCGTTCGACTGGGTGGCGAACGCGGTCGTCTACAACGGCCTCTCGTACAACGCCACGAACCTCGGGGTCTCCGACTACCTCGCCTTCTTTATCGGTAACGCGAGACCGCCCTCCGTTGAACGCGTTCCCTCGGAGCCGGAGAGAAGTTGTTCGATCGGTTGTTTGCAGGCGGCCTCGTGGAAATACCCTCGTACGTGATCACCTGGTACGCGATGGACAGGCTAGGCAGGAGATGGGTGCTGTGCTTGACCATGCTGCTGGGCGGGTTGGCTTGCGTCTCCTGCATGTTCGTCCCCGAAGGTACGCATTCGTATCGTTCATATACGCCGGATCGTTCGAGCGATCCGCAACGATCCGGAGGAAACGAAACGCGGTGACATGGAAATACGCGGCTCGTGTTTGCCGTAGCAGACGCCGTCTGGGTGACGGTCAGCCTGGCGATGATCGGCAAGTTCGGGATCGCAGCCTCGTTCGCCGTCTTCTACGTGTTCGTCGGCGAGCTGCTGCCGACGGTGCTGCGCTCGCAGGCGATGGGCATCGCCTCGTTCATCGCGGGCATCGGTCTGCTCGCGTTCCCGTACATCGTGCACCTGGCCGTCTACTCGAGGGTCCTGCCGCTGATCATCATGGGCACGCTGAGCGTCGCCGGCGCGCTCACCTCCATCTTCCTACCGGAGACGCTGAACATCCACCTGCCGCAGACGATCGAGGAGGGCGAGCTGTTCGGGGCCGACTTTAAGCTCTGGTCCTGCCCGACGTTGCCAAGGTGGGTCCCCTTCGTTGCGGCCGCTCGCGAGGCGCAGGCTTAACCGAAACCACGCGAATCGCGCGTGTTTCAGGAAGCGGAGGAATCCCGAGGAGAAGCGGGAAGCGTTGCCGCTGAGGTGTTCGGCGAACGGCCGGCCCGGCAGTCGGTCCTCGGCGTCCAAATCCCAGGAGGACGAGGCCGACCGGCAGTCCGCGAGCTCCGGGTCCGATCAGCCGAGGCCCGAGGAGAGCAGAGAGGCCGCGGAACCAGAGGAGCTAGGCCAGATCACGACCACGGAGGTCGTCGTCGAGCCGAAGAGGACGCAATGAACTTCCGTTGTAACATAATTACTACCGGTGCGCGTCCGTCGCGAGGTTTCCGCGCCGCGACTCTTCGAAGCTCGACGACCGTCGCACCGTTAACGTGCAACAGGGTATACGCGTCGAGGCGACGCGTTCGCCGCGACGTTCGCAGCGGTGCGTCGCCAAGGGGAAACGGTAGTCTGCTGTTTCCGTTTGCCCCTGACCCGGCGCCACCGTTCGACGCGCGTTCCCGACGACTCATCCCCGAGGCGAGGAGGCAGCTCCGCACCGAAAACCTCGTTCGACCGGCTTCCCATCGGCGGCGGGCTCCGAGCTCGCGGACATCCGGAACGTCGACCGTTCGACAGCGCAGGGAGGAATGCGGGAAATCGTGCACATCCAGGCTGGACAATGCGGGAACCAGATCGGTGCTAAGGTCAGTGAGGATCGGGCACCGTGCGTGCGCGACCGCGGACGAGTCGGCGACGCGATGATAGCTCGATCGTTGCGTTCTCGAAGGGCAGTTCTGGGAGGTGATCTCCGAGGAGCACGGCATCGATCCCGTCGGTACGTATCGCGGGGACTCGGAGCTCCAGCTGGAGAGGATCAACGTGTACTACAACGAGGCGACCGATGGGAAATACGTGCCGCGCGGCATCCTGCTCGATCTGGAGCCGGGCACCATGGACGCGGTGCGCTCCGGCGTGTACGGGCAGCTCTTCAGGCCGGAGAATTTCGTGTTCGGTCAGTCGGGCGCCGGCAACAACTGGGCCAAGGGTCACTACACCGAAGGCGCCGAGTTGGTCGACTCGGTGCTCGACGTGCTGAGGAAGGAGGCCGAGAGCTGCGACTGCCTGCAAGGCTTCCAGCTGACGCACTCGCTGGGCGGCGGAACCGGGTCCGGCATGGGCACCCTGCTCGTCTCGAAGATACGCGAGGACTACCCCGACCGAATAATGGCCACGTTCTCCGTGGTCCCCTCGCCGAAAGTCTCCGACACCGTCGTGGAGCCGTACAACGCCACCCTCTCGGTTCATCAGTTGGTCGAGAACACCGACCAGGCGTACTGCATCGACAACGAGGCCCTCTACGACATCTGCTTTCGCACCTTGAAACTCTCGACCCCGACGTACGGCGACCTGAATCACCTCGTGTCGGACACGATGTCCGGCGTGACGACTTGTCTCAGGTTCCCCGGCCAGCTGAACGCCGACCTGAGGAAACTGGCCGTGAACATGGTCCCGTTCCCGCGGCTCCACTTCTTCATGCCCGGTTTCGCGCCTCTGACCTCGCGAAAGAGCCAACAGTACCGAGCGCTCACCGTGCCGGAGCTCACTCAGCAGATCTTCGACTCGAAGAACATGATGGCCGCCTGCGACCCGAAACACGGTCGGTATCTGACCGTGGCGGCCGTTTTCCGCGGACGGATGTCCATGAAGGAGGTCGACGAGCAGATGTTGAACGTCCAGAACAAGAACAGCTCCTATTTCGTAGAGTGGATCCCGAACAACGTGAAAACGGCCGTCTGCGACATTCCGCCGCGCGGTCTGAAGATGTCCGCCACGTTCATCGGTAACTCCACGGCTATTCAGGAACTGTTCAAGAGGATCTCCGAACAGTTCACGGCCATGTTCCGCAGGAAAGCGTTCCTGCACTGGTACACCGGCGAGGGTATGGACGAGATGGAGTTCACCGAGGCCGAGTCGGACATGAACGACCTCGTCTCCGAGTACCAGCAGTACCAGAACGCTTCGCCGGAAGACGAGCAAGAGTTCGACCCGGAAGGAGATGCCGAAGAAAGATAGATGCCTCCCCTTCTTCTTTCTCCTTCTTTCTCCTTCTTTCTCCTTCTTTCTCCTTCTCTTTCTCCTTCTCTTTCTCCTTCTCTTTCCCGTACTTGTTCTTCTTCGACTTGTTCTCCTCCCTCGGGTACCTCGCGATTCGGGAACGCTCGCAACGACGCGTCGTTACGAAAATTTCTTGTACACGTTTCGCGAGAACTCTCGTCGAACGCCGAGTTGTCGGAATGGTTGTAGTAGCTTTGCATATCGTATCGACGATTTCTTACAGACTTTTTCACCGATTTCTTACCGACTATTTTACGATCGATGGATTTTTCATGGGTTTTTATATAAATCTAAGCGCACCCTTATACACATGCATACACATGTATAACCTATCTATCCATCTGTTTATCTATCGTACGTGTATACTTGATACCTTATATGAGATTTAGAGAAAATGTATTGGATTTGTTGAACATGCAACAACGGACGTGTTTTTTCGTCTACGATCATTTCAATCTCGTCGATTCCGCCGGTGACGCCGGATCGCTCGCAGTCTCGAAGCGAGAGCGTCATCGAACTCGCGCTCGTCCTTCCAGTCGACTGGGGGATTGATGGAGCGCGGACCTTGGTAAAAATTGCTCGTGGCGTATTATCCCATCGGCGCCCCGAGGACGAACACTTTATTATCGCGCACCGTTCCGAATCGCTTTGAACGAACGTTAATGCGGCCACCGCGCGGCGGCAGCAGCCGTATCGCCGATCGCCAATCGCCAATCGCCGAAAGTTCCTCTCGTTCTCCGTTTCGACCGATCGTCGTTTCGCCTCCGACGCGCGCGTCTCGCTCGAGAGGCCGAGAGGCGACCGGTTCCGACAAAATTTCCTGCAGCCTCGCTCCCCGCTTTCCTTCTTTCGGCCGGAGATCGACGAACGGACTCGGTATCGTCCGACCCGAATCGATTCGCGTGTCACGGCATCTCTCCGGCTCCGACCGATGTAACCTGCGCTTCGGCCGACAATTGTCACGAGCGTCCTCGGAAGCGAACGGAATGCGGGAGATCGTGCACGTGCAGCTGGGTCGATGCGGAAACAACGTAGGCGGGAAGGTGATTTCTGGTTTCGCGCGCGGCGTAAACACGCTCGACGCTGCTCTACCGACAGCCCGGTGTCGCCGGCGGATTTCGTTTTCAGTTTTGGCAGGTGATCGCCGACGAGCACGGCCTGACACCCGATGGCACGTTTCGCGGAGATTCCGAGGTGCTTCTGCAACGAATAAACGTGTATTTCTCGGAGGGACCAGGTACGTACCTCTCGAACCGGTCGTGCCCCGATTCTCGTCGCGCGGCGGTCGCGGGGACCGTTACGGCGGACGCGCGCGAGACGGCCGGACCTTACAGGCGGATCCTTTCCAGGCTACCGGTTCGCGCCGAGGGCGGTTCTGGTCGATTCAGACCCGGCGACCGCTAGTTCGTCCATGTCCGGACCGTGCGGCGGAATGTTCAAGCCCGACAACTTCGTTTCCGGTCGCGGCAGCGCGGCGAACAATTGGGCGAAAGGTTACTGCACCGAGGGCGCGGAATTGGCCGAGGCGACGCTGGATCTCGTTCGCGCGGAAGCCGAAGCCTGCGATCTGATGCAAGGTGACGATGACGATGCACCGTTTCCGTTTCGAATCGAAAGTCGATCGGTCGCAGGTATTCAAATGACGCGTTCGCTGGGGGGCGGCACCGGCTCGGGCACGGGCGGGCTGCTGATGGGCAAGTTCAGGGAAGAGTATCCGGGAAGAATCGTGAAATGCTACAGCGTGGCGCCGTCCTCGGAGACGTCGGACGTCGCGGTGGAACCGTACAACGCGATGCTCGCTCTCCGAGCGTCGATCGAGTGCACGGACCAATGCTTCTGGATGGACAACCACGCGCTGCATCGCATCTGCTCGCGAGTCCTCGGTATCGCGACGCCGAGCCACGCGGACGCGAACCATTTGATCGCCGCGTGCATGTCCGGGGTGACCGCCTGCGCCCGATTTCCCGGGCAACCGAGCACCGACCTCGGCAAGCTGGGCGTCAACATGGTCCCGTTCCCGAGACTCCACTTCTTCGTCCCCGGACACGCGCCGCTGACGTCCAGGAGTTCCGCGCGCTACAAAGTCCTTTCGGTTCCGGAACTGACGCGACAACTCTTCGAGCCTAGCAACGCGTTCGCCGCCTGCGATCCAGCGCCGGCGGGAGCCAAGACGCTGACCGCGGCTGCCATTTTCCGGGGTGCCGCGTCCCGCAAGGTCGGGAAACCGAGAGCAGCCCACCCCGCTGGCCGTAACCGCACGGTTGTAATTTCTCGTTTCCCTTCAGCGCGTAGACGAGCAAACGTCGAAGCTACGCGACAAAAGCGGCGGCCGCTTCGTCGAGTGGATCCCGGGGAACGTTCAGACCGCGATCTGCGAGATCCCTCCGCGAGGAGTCTCGACGAGCGCCACCCTGCTGGCGAACACGAGCGCGATTCGTGCGCCGATCGAGAGACTGTCGACCGCGTTCGACGGCATGTTCGAGAAGAGAGCTTACGTTCATTGGTACACGGCGGAGGGGATGGACGAGGCGGAATTCCTGGAGACTCGGGGAGCCGTGCGCGATCTGATCTCAGAGTACCGAGAAGCTGCCACGGCCGCGACGGACAACGAACAACGATCGGACAACCTCCGAGGAGAGTGAAGAGGAGAAACCGGTGGAGAAGAATATTTGAAAAAATTTGTATATTTCTGTAAGGAACAAACTTGCGCTAAACGTTAAACGCGTGCCACGATTATACGCATGCGATACATGAATAATGTTGCGGGTGGAACGGAGAAGGCAGATTTTTGGTTGCGGTGCTTTGGCGTTTGGTCGTCGAGGAGATGGATCCTCTTCGCTTCCCTCTCCGTGCGCTCTCCTGCCGCTTCGCAGCATCTTTCCACCCCAGCTGTTCTCGCGTACTTATTCGTTGCGCCCTTCGATCGGATTTCGCGTCGTACCGATCGCACCGTCGTCGTTCAAGAAACACTCGGGAAACGAAAAGAGGACGAGACTCGTCGCGTATAAAAGTACAAAAAAGACGGTGAACGGTACGGTACTCGGGAAACCGAAGCGAGGCGAGCAATCGAGAAATGGAAATCTCTGAAACCTTTGGAGCTAGTCGGTGAAGGGAGAGAGTCGAGAGGAGAGAGAGAAAGAGAGAGGGAGAGGATAGGAAAAGTGACCGCGAGAAAAGGCAAAAGTAGGAATCCCTCGACGAGGCCGAGAAATCCCGGCGAGCGCGTCTACTCCTGTTCGCAGGTCTCGAAGTCGTCGGCGCACTCCTCGGCCTCGAAGTCTTCCTCGGCGGTGGCTTCCTGGTACTGCTGGTACTCGGAGACCAGGTCGTTCATGTTCGACTCGGCCTCGGTGAACTCCATCTCGTCCATTCCCTCGCCGGTGTACCAGTGCAGGAACGCCTTCCTACGGAACATGGCGGTGAACTGTTCGGAGATTCTCTTGAACAGCTCCTGGATGGCGGTGGTGTTTCCGATGAAGGTCGACGACATCTTCAGGCCCTTGGGCGGAATGTCGCAGACGGCCGTCTTGACGTTGTTCGGGATCCACTCGACGAAGTAGGAGCTGTTCTTGTTCTGGACGCTGAGCATCTGCTCGTCGACCTCCTTCATGGACATCCGTCCGCGGAAGACCGCCGCCACGGTCAGATATCGACCGTGCCTGGGGTCGCAGGCCGCCATCATGTTCTTCGCGTCGAACATCTGTTGCGTGAGCTCCGGCACCGAGAGCGCCGAGTACTGTTGCATGGACCTGGAGGTCAGCGGCGCGAAGCCCGGCATGAAGAAGTGAAGCCGGGGGAACGGGACCATGTTCACCGCCAGTTTCCTCAGGTCGGCGTTCAGCTGGCCGGGAAACCTGAGACAGGTCGTCACGCCGGACATGGTCAGCGAGACCAAGTGGTTCAAGTCCCCGTAGCTGGGATTGGAGACCTTCAGGGTACGGAAGCAGATGTCGTATAGGGCTTCGTTGTCGATGCAATAGGTTTCGTCGGTGTTCTCGACGAGCTGGTGCACGGAGAGGGTCGCGTTGTACGGCTCGACCACTGTGTCGGAGACTTTCGGCGACGGCATCACCGAGTAAGTGTTCATGATCCGGTCGGGATACTCCTCGCGAATCTTCGAGATGAGCAACGTCCCCATTCCGGAGCCGGTGCCGCCTCCGAGCGAGTGGGTCAGCTGGAATCCCTGGAGGCAGTCGCAGTTTTCGCATTCCTTCCGGACGACGTCGAGCACCGAGTCGACCAGCTCAGCTCCCTCGGTGTAGTGACCCTTGGCCCAGTTGTTGCCGGCGCCCGACTGACCGAACACGAAATTGTCCGGCCTGAAGAGCTTCCCGTAGGCGCCGGAGCGCACCGCGTCCATGGTGCCCGGCTCCAGGTCGAGAAGTATAGCCCTCGGCACGTATTTGCCCCCATTCGTCGAGGTGGCGACTGAAACAGCGCGTCGACCGAAATCAATTACCGCCGCGGAGCACGCCGATACCGGAGGTTTTCGCAAGGACTTTTCTCGCGCACCGCCGTGTCCGTAGAAAGGACTCGTGCGCAGACACGCGTGCCGTCCATGTTAATCGGGTTTCGGGGTTATTGTAATTCCAGTCGAAAACTCGCGGCGACGATGGCTCCGAAAGGCCGACGGAAACGAATCGATCGTATACGGCTTCGAATGCCGCGCTCGTGCCTGCACGGTGCCTGCAAATTAGCCGCGCGACCATTTACATTTCGGAAACGGCCGGCATGCGCGCGTAGACCGGTCGACGGCCGGCGACGCGAAAACCGCGAAACCAGTCGACTCGACTCCGTCGCGGTAAGTTCGCGTCAGAACCAGGGGTGGACCAGCTATTTCGAGCCTAAACGCGACTGTCGCCGTCGCCGTCGCCCTCTTGTCCCCGGCCTTCTTTTTTCCCGCGTTCCTCCTATCGCGGCGAGAGATGCTTCTATTTTCGAACGTCGCGAGGAATTCGCTAAAGCGAATCGGCCGATGCGCGCGATACGGCGGCGAATCGAGATTGTTCTCTCGCGCGAAAAGTTCTCCTTACCGGAAGCCTCGTTGTAGTAGACGGAAATCCGTTCCAGTTGGAGATCGCTGTCCCCGTGGTAGATTCCGGACTGGTCGATGCCGTGCTCCTCGGAGATCACTTCCCAGAACTGCAACATAAAGGCGAACGAGTCGGAGGAATCCTCGATAGAAAGAAGGAAACGCCTCGGAGACGGTCGAGCGCGGACAAGGATAACGCGCGGCGTCTAAAAATAGAGGCGCACGAAATTAACGCGGCTTCTGCCCCCTGGCAGGGGGAGAGCAGCACCCTTTCCCTCGACCTATGCCGTTGCTCTTTTTCATTCGGCCGGCTTTCACTATTTTCTCTCCTCTATTAATAGGCGGGCAGCGTCGGTGATGGCGGCGACGCGACGCGACGCGACGCGATTCCATCGGCGCCCCAAGAATACCCCGGTTCGCACGCGAACCCTCCATCCCCAGCCGAGACCCCCTCGGATCGCGCAGCGGGAACGACTCGATCGATCGCTCGGCCGCTCGCTCGGCGATCGAGAACCGCGATAGATCCGCGCCGCGGAACTTGCTCGAAATCTAGAAAGGAGATACCGTTAATTATTGATTATCGGAGCGGCACAGCCAATTACCGTCGCTCGTTCTCTTTCTCGTCCAATTAGCCGAACCGTGCGGTCCAACCGAGCGTCCGCGTCGCCTCTTCTCCCCTTTGTTTCGAATGCTTTACGATTTACGCTCGGTTGGCCGGCATCGTTTTCCGTGTGGAACAGCTTAACGATCGGCCCAGAAACCGATCGCGGAATCCGCGAGCGAACGCGAACTTTGTTGCGACTCGCGCGGAAACGCTCCGACCGACCGTCCGTCCGTTCGTTGGTTCGTTCGCGTCGAGCACTTGGCGATTCACGAGCTGGTTCGACGCAGCCGCGCGAGACGAGCTCCGCGAGAACAATGACTGGCGTCCCTTTACGTTCGACGGTTCGCTTTCGGCGCGTAGAAACTCTCATCCGGTTGTCTCTGAAAACGCGTCCCCTTCGAGACCAACTTTCGTTCACGCGAACGCCGACCTGCTGGAAAACATGAAAAATACCGGAGACCCGCCGAGCGAAGCGCAACGTTATTTCCGCGAATGATACGCTCGCTTATTTTCGCGCGGCGACCGCTGCCCGGGCGGCACGCTCGAGACTCTTCGCGGCGACCGGACGAAGAAGAGGGCTCTTTAAATTCCTGCTGATTGCCGAGCGCCGCCTTATCTTTAATTCGATTACCGGCTCGGTTGAACGCGCCTCGACCTTGAGCGAAAGAGCCGCGCGTCTCTGTTCGTTTCGAGAGACGACGAATTTCGGAGGCGAGAAAGAAGAAGCGGGCTTCCGGCCGGACGCGTTGCATCTGTCCGCGACGGTATTCGAGCGAGCAAAAGCGAACCGTACGAATGACCGCGTTTCCCGAAATGTACCTTTGCGCCGATCTGGTTCCCGCATTGTCCAGCCTGCAGATGCACGATCTCCCTCATCCTGAGCTTAGTCGCGCGCCTCGAGTGCCCTTTGCGAACCGGGGAGAAACGATGCGCCGTCTGACAACAGCTGATCCCTCGAACGTCCTCCTCCCGTGACGGAAAACTGCGGATGGCCGGCTGGTCTCGTAGACGCGAGCAGAGAGCGTGTGCAGCGAAGCGGGTGCTACCGAGCCGACTGTCGTG